AGGACTGATCAGAAAAAGATAAACATATTTTAACCAAAAATGCAGAAGACAGAAACACACGCAAGCTATTTATGCTGAAGTCAGACATCGGGTTTTTGCGGTTCTGATGCTGTTTTCTACATGTTAAACCTGCTGAGACATTTGAAGATCAAGTGACGGTTCAGTTAACACCGCATGTCATCTCTACCACCCTCTAACAAGTATACTGTACGTTACGCAGTGTAAGGATTAGATTAATAAGCTCTATCTTAGAAAAACTAATAGTTGAAAAAGTATTTCCTTTGCCTGAATTTATTATTTTTTGATTAATACATTTGGTGGAAACCATCCTGACATCACTGCAGGGGCTCTTCGATATCTGGAGGTACAGCCAATCAGCAAGTAATATGAATGGCTCTCTTGGATTGGCTGCTTTGCAAATGCCAGCTAATAGCGTGTCAAGCAGCACTTTCACATTTTAAAGATGTACACAAAAATCTGTGAAAAAGTGGGTTTTTTGCAAATAATTTAGAGTTACGTTCAACAGACAAATGTGTGAATAGGTGCATCTGCAGGTAACGAGTGTGGAGAGTCCGTTGTAATTTTTTGCATCTTTTAATGTTAGTCTTTGAAATATCACAGTGTGTACATGAGTTTATGTTTGTCTGTCTTATCCCATCATTTTTAGTATTTGAGTAGCTTTGATTTCAAATAGCTTTTTACTTTTACTTGAGTAAAACCTTTGGGTCCTCTGCCCAACTCTGATTAAAACTTGAACTGTGGAAATTTGAAAAATCTAAAACCAGGACTCGTTTTTTACTTTATTTTTATTTTAACTTTTCCATTTGGACATCTGAGAAAAAAAAACAACAACAACATGATAGTGGATCTATCCCACCTGTCCTTTTCCTACACACATAACGCCCTCCACTATAGTCCACTTCCTGCTTTAGGAGTGCTCTCCGGTCCGACATGCATTCAAACCGCGCCAGAGTTCACTTTAACCGAACTGAGACCAAGGCTTTCAGGCGGGCCGGAGTTTTGCTTTTTGGGTCGATTGCACACTCACACCTTCCGAAACAAACCGGACTTTCTGGGCAAACGAACTGGATTTCAATTAAAGCGGACTAAACAGGGCCGGTGCGAACGCACCCTTAAATTTGTTTTGAACTTCGCATTTATTTTTGCTCCCGTTTGTCACCAGGCGACCCTAACTCTGTGTCTCGCAGTTTACCAACGTGGACGAGCTCGCGGGTTACTTTGAGAACCTCCTCTACATCAGGGATCAGCTGTACCAGAGGGAGACTCAGGTGCAGGAGCGCATGGAGGAGCAGAAGAAAGCCTGCCAGATCCTGAAGGACAAGCACAACCTGGTGTGGCTGCAAAAGAACAACCACCTGTCGCAGCTCCAGACCGAGCTGGAAAAGGCCCGCTCTGAAGCTCTGATATGGGTACGGGAGCGCCTAATCACAGCCTCATCGTAGCCTGGAAGCTAAAGACGCTCCGAGAGAAGCTCAGGTGTCGCTTGTGTTTCTGCAGGAAAGGCAGTGGAACCAAATTCAGGAAACGGCTGCAAAGAAGACGCTGGAGCTGGGCCAGATTACGTATGCGACCCTTAACCTGTTCGAAATGGCCGGCGGGGTGACTGGAGTGGGCGGTTTGCACATCCACGACACGGAGAAACAACTGGAGGCGGTAAGTGACCTGAGGGAAGAAGCGTAAGGCAGCCGGAGTAAGAAAAGAAAGAACTGATGGGTGTGTGTGTGTGTGTGTGTGTGTGTGTGCGTGTGTTTCCTCCTCAGATCAAGAACTTCATGATGGACCACACAGACATTGTGAAACATTATCAGACACACATGCATCGAGAAGCCAGAGGAAGCAAATCAGAAAACATAGGAAATACTAAGTAGCAAACTGTTTAACCTTGTCCCAGTGTTGTGATGTTACAGTGTCTATGTCAAACAAAATAAAAAGCAGAAATTACTTTTCTTCTCTTTGTTTGTGTTGTTTTTTTTTTACCCAAACTTAGAGACTGAACCCTATTTTTCATTCTTTGAACACTATTGGGTAGAAAAGTTGGATGGAAGTTGATTGTTGCAGTTTGTAGGATGTGTGGATTCTGGTGCAACACTTGCGCAAGATGTTTTACATTATATTTAATATTCTAATTTTTTTTTTTATAAAACCTCATGATATAAATTGAAAAAAAGTACTCCTGCAAAACAATTTGAAAAGTTGGATTTTCTGTGTCCGGCACTTACAGGATTAAGGTTGGTTTTGATTTCCCAACTTATCTTATCCTTGTTTTATCTGTTCCTGTTGCAAAAACACATAATTCCTGATATAATTCCCCCAGGTTTTATGGTCAGCTCTTGGGATTAGGCTTTCCCCCTCATCCCTGGACCCGCCTAAAACAGGTAAACGGAAAAACTAAGTACACCCCATGATCCAGCAGCTGGAATACTCACCTCGTGCAGCGTTTTTTTGTTTTTTTTCTATTGGATATT